TTGGCACCTCCTCTTCCCACACCTTTTCCTCCTTTATCACGATCAAACATTGCTCAACTCACCTAATCCACGGTGGAGCAGCAAACGAAGCAAACACAACGCCCACATTGAATGCGCAGGTATTCCGTCCACGGAAGCTATCGTTGCATCAGGCAATTGAAATTGGTTCACTCATACCCTTACACCCTTGACGCATTTTCATCCATCTTAAACACAATTTGCACTTGCGTTATTACTTTTAGTTATGCTGTCATTGCCATCAACACCATCTCCATTTATTTGCATTACGCGTATACAGATTCAAATTTATGTGTACAAGTACAGGTACTGGTACGAAAAATAGGTGTTTATAAACTTAAAGTAAACGTTAGTACTTCCTTCTAAATCATGTAACAATGTACAATTTTTAGTATCTGCTTGTTTTCCTCATTCTTCTTCGTCTATCCACCAATTCTATCTACATTTTGCTGAATTCTTTCCCGCAATGTTCGTGTAGGGATCGGATAGATAAATAGACGCATTGATGAGGAAAAAATTATTTCCTGAGGGTCTCGTTGAGAAATTCGAGGGAAGAGAATAAAGAAGTAGTAATCATAGGCCTGGACTATTTTGGTATTCTGCTCTTAACAATGTGACAGTCAAACAACAGTGAGGTTTTGAGGCGAGAGGAATGCAAGTACTGAACGGACTGACAAGCTGCTGTGTGGTCAGTGTTCAAGTGGGGAGGTGATTGGAGTAGGCAGATGGACATCTGATTCGACTGTGCTAGCGATGGTGGAGACGTGCCAGGGGTAGGCTAGGCTCTCAGGCCAGTTGCGCAACATATCTACCAACTACCTATTAGATAAGTAGGCAGAGGACAGATGCATATGGAAGGTAAATGGGTGTGTGAGGTGGGACATGTCAGTTCACACCAAGTCACTCAGGTGTCGTGCAGTTCTTAATCCGATGCGTCAGGAGTAATTGCAGAACCAATAGCAGGATGTATTGGCAATAGCGAGCCAATCAGATGTGTGAAGTGGTCAGGGTGCTGTGTGGCCAATAGGAATTGTGCATTTGTCTGGTGAGTGTTGACCATAACGGGAGGGCAGAAAGTGTCAATGATGTAGAATCAAGCATCGAGCGGGTGATTAATTGCGTCGACGGCGACAAAAGAATGAGTGGAAAACGTAAAGGAGGCAAATGACGAGCCTGAGCGAAAATGAGGTAGGTGAGCACAGACCCGCTGCTCTCCGTGGGTCGTGCGACCGTCTGTTGAGTCGTGACAACTAT